GTAGCGGCTGCTTTATTCACGGGGGATTTTAAGCAGCCGGTCTCGTCCTTTGCAGGCAAAGCTGCTGTGCCCGGGGGCTGAGCGGGGCTGGCCTTGCCACAGAAGGAGGAAAACTGGGAGAAGAGGGGGAAAAAGCGGTGCTAAAATTAGCGTGAATTGTTGCTGAGGAAGTTTTGGAAGCTTTCTGTTAGCACAAAGGAGGAGGATTGGGTTTTACTCGGGCTGCTTCTCTGGGGAGGCACTGTGGCTACTGCTGTCAGCCGCACCAGCGTGAACGTGGGTGGGCGGTTGTTCCTTTTGGAACTGGATTGTTGTGACTTGCCGTCATGTGCCTGCAGCTTGTTCCAGCTGCAGAAACAGAAATGCATTCTTTCAGACTTTATTAAACGCTGTTAAAATGACCAGATTACACTTGGTGGTTGGTCAGAGGAGAAGGCGTGTGCAAATGTCGCTTGTTTGTCCAACTTACCTGACAATTAATGATTTGGTTGTTCGCAATAATGTACCTGACTAACAGTTATTTGGACAACGATTTAGTATAACTTTTTGATTCTCTTTCTTACTTAAAGATGAAAACTTCTGCAATGAGTAATCGTAAGTCAAAGGGGAGCAGTGAAACGAAGGGAGAGTGCATTTCACAGGTTAGTAACATCTTTATTAGCTGGGTTTGTTTTTAAGCTGTGAAACTTTTCCGTCGTCCCTGTCACTGTAGTTTTCCTCCAGTTAAAAAGGCACGTAGAGGTACTTGATGTAACTTCTAGGGCTGTAAAAGGTTTTTGTGCTTACGTTCTATATTCCTTTCAGCTTCTCACCTGCTTGCTTCAAGTGTTACAATCTGCTTTTTGGAGTCTTAATAAAAATGGTAAAGGATGCTCTTGCGCTCTTATAGCCGTTTCTGGCAACAGGTTTGCATAAATCTGTTTTTATCTAATGAGATTCTTCATCTCCTGGTTTGTAGAGTGAATGGAAATCTGGGTGACTGTGGTTTTTTGTAACGGCCTAGGTTAGGCAGGGCAGCAGCTGCCAAATCAGTTTTCAGTTTGTTTTTTTTTAAGCTTTATTCTTCTGTTTTTTCTCAAAGTGACAGCTTAAAACCTGTGATGCCTTTTGTAGCGAATTACCTCTGGTTGAATGATTTCTTCTATTTTAATATCTTTCCTTCACTTACCCACGAAATCCCTTTATGGGGGGAAAACCTTTTCACTTGTGGATGGACACTGCTGATCGCTCGTTAAAACAGAATAAATCTGAACATTAAATCAGTAAGACTTTGGTAGAAGGGAAAGTAACTGAAGAAGCAGGTGTGCAAGCACGGCTCATGTGTTAAACAGCAGTTCCTTTCATAAAGTGGAATTCTTAGCAAAATAGATTTTTCTTGTTCTTCTGTCCGTTATTTGGGCTCGCTGAGGAGTACGTCACAAAGACGCATCTGCAGGTATTTATTTTTAAACCAAACACCTAGAGCTGACGGTGATGATTCCACCATGAAGAGCTAAGTGTTAGAAGACGACATGCTTTCACGATGCTAAAATCCCGTTAGTAACAAACCCCAGGAGAGTGACTGGTTGGCTACAGGCGTGAACGAGTAACTGCTGCCTAAGGCAAGAGAAAGGCAAAACCTTCGTGGTGAAGCATGGCCTGAGTGTAGGTTTACCTGGGCTGGAACTCTGCGCTTTTTCGTGATTTCTTAGGGCTCAGTGGAAGCAAAGAAGGCCTTGGTGAAGAGCTGTGACTGAAGAACATGGAGAAAAATCTTATGGGGGGGAGGTGAGCTCACTCCTTGATTAAGAGTGGAAAAGCAGTGGCAGAGATGTGCAGGGTAATGTTTAGGTGAAATGGAGGTTCAGTTGGACTGAAAGGCGAGGTGCTCGAGCGGGATCGTAAAGGAAGATCGCTCCATCGGCAGTTTGCAGTTTAATCTCTGGAATTCTTTGGCAGGGAGCACTTAAATGGGACACCAGGCGTTTAAGAGGAGGGGGTATGCAGGTGCTGTAGCCTAGCTTAAATGAGGGGTAGGGAGGAGCTGTAGTATAGAGTCCTGTAACCTCTTAAAAACCGGGGTTGTCCAGGTCGCCTGCTGCTAGCCAAGTGGTGGGAAGAAATCTGCTGCGATGCTGAAGGTTGGGTGTTGGGGAATTGAAGTCACAGTTTTAAGTAACAGTTCTCAACGCGGGAAGCAGAAGTCAGTGCAGACCTGTGTCTAGAGATCTCCCAAGCAGTTAATCCAAATTAATAGTGACAATAACTGTTCACTGCACCTTGAAGGGTTTTTCAGGGCTTCATGTGGTAACCAAGCTGGATAGGCTTCGTTCCCTCCTTTGTGAGGGCTCTTATTACCCTCAGGATGATTCTACTTCCTGCCCCTCTTCCAAACTTCTAGGAACAAGGTACCTGAACTGAATCCTCAAAGAAACTGTAAATTTGCTGCTTTCTGCTGTTTGAAGGCGGTAGGCTGCAGTGTTGTTGTGAGTGGTGCAAAAAGTGTATTCACTGAGGATTTGGGGGTGTAACTAAGGGGTTATTTTTTACTTAAGTCAGCTGGGAAATGTTTTCTTGCCTGTATTGCACAATAAGATCTATGAATTAGATGAACCACTGACCTAATTTAGGTGACAAGTAGAACATCCCTTTAGGGGTGAAGGGAAGAAGCTGTAGCAGAAGGGACCAAAGACACATGCTGTTATAATTGAGTTGAATTTTCTCTTTTCTGCTACAAAGAGTCTGTTAAAGATTTGCCCACTTCATTCTTACTTTGAAGACCCAACGTCATAGGTGGCAGTTAACGCTTACGTGGTACAGAGTGATTGTAACACCACGGAAACCTGCGTGTTTTACCGTTATTTTACTGCAGTGGTTATTTTTGTGAAACAGCCAGTTAAATCCGTTATGTTATTGGTACATTCTGGTGTTGGGAGCACCAAGCGTTCTTTCTGTCTTGTGTTATATCCCTAGGTGCAAAAAATTCTACGTGAGAGATTCTGTCACCATTATGCTACTGGAAAACTGTTTGGGCTTGAACATCAGCACAGGTGAGTGAGCAGGCTCAACTGTCAAGGAATTCCTCCTTCAGCCCCAGTAGAAAAATAATCAGGTGAAGCCAGAATTTTCTGCTACGTCTCTTCTTGTAAATGGTGCAGGCTTAAATGACGTGCAGCGCAATGCTTCTAAAAATAGCTTGCCTCAGATTTTAAGAGTTTTTATACAACTGTTGCTTGCTGGTTTGTCAGGCTCTGGGTTTTGGGTTTCTTGTTTCAAATCTGTAATTCCCAAAACACTTCTTTTTGAGCCTGAAAGATACATTTAGGGCATATGCTAAGGCTACGTTTAACGACCTGACCAAGCAAAAAGTAAAAAGTCTCTTGTCGTGAGTCTTTATTTGTACTTCAGATTTCCTCCTGGTTATTGGCAAGCCGTGTTGAAAGTAAACCTTAGACCTTGGGTGCCAGCATCATGTTTCTTGAGGTAGAGACCCGTATGTAAAACAAACCTCCTTGGGGTCATCCAGGTGCGGAGGTTAGAGTTGGGAAGAAGGGACCTATTGTGACAATAATACTGCCCTGATACCGGTCCTTGTACAGATGCAGGTCAGATTCTGAAAAGAGCAAACATGTATCCGAAGAACTTGTTTTAAACAATCAATTTTTCCACGAGTGCCTTCACAGCAGTTGAATCACCCGCTATGAGCGTTGCTTTCCTTTCCCTTACAGGAAGGAGAACATTTCTGTTATTAAAAAAAGTGCAGTGTGATACCGAGGCAGAATTCACGTGGACACGTGTAGTGGCGGTGTGAGAGAACGTGTTTCTGGGACGTTAGTGTTCTGCAAATCAAGGCTCCCCTCTTGGTGTTGGGATTCTGCAGACCAGTCCGCAGGCTGTTGAATTAGACTGGAGGGAACTTCCCAACTCTTGTTTTTTTTCTTTCCCAAGCTGTAGTTAGCTCTCAAACGGTGAACACCGCCACGTGCATTTGCTGCAGCTGTTCCACCATGACTCTGTCGCTCCTTTAGAAGCGATTGCACAAGATCAATATTCTAAGTTTAAAAAAAAAAAAAAAAAGATATTAAATGTATGTGTTTGTAAGCATTTGGGAACTGGAAGTGTCAGTAGTTTTTGGAAGTACTTTAGCACTAGGTGATAAGTCTGAAGATAACTTAGAGTTGTCTTTGTTCCTTCTTTTGGGTGGGAATAGAATAGGAACTTGAAGTTCAGTATTGCTGTTACATGCCAAAAATTAGCATATAATGTTTTATGAAGATTGTCAAAATGAATATATAGATAGATAGATAGATTGTCCATTTTTACTGGTGTCAATAAATTTGCCAGTCTTATGTAGTGGTATTAAAGAAAGCAATCTTGGGTTTTTTTAAAAGAAAAAAGTAACTATTGACATCTGTCCTTTCATGGTGAAGAGTTGTAGAACTTTATGATTAGTGATACTCCCGACTTTGGCGTGTTTTCATATTTTAAAATATTTCAGGAAATCTAATCACTCAGCCTTTTGTACTTTATGGTGTTTTGCTTTTCAGTGCCCTGAGTGTTAGCTCTGAGAGCAAGTTGAAATGTCCCAAGTTTTCTCTTATGTTCTAAAGATTCTTTGAATTTTCCATCGTTTCAGTGAATGTTGTCTGGTTGGAAGTTTTTAACCTCTTGCTGTTGTCAACACAGACACCTGCTGGAACTGCTGAAACGAACTGCAGTGCATGGAGAAAGTAATTCTGCCCTCATTATTGGACCCCGAGGATCAGGAAAGACTGCGGTATAACCATGTATTTAAAGTTTATCCAAGGTCCAGTAAAGCATGAGGGAAATAACCTGGCTGAAGCCCTGGGAGCTTTTGGAGCTAAATTTTTATCTCTGCCTGTTTTAAAGAGAGAATCGCTAATGGTTTACATATCATCTCAAAATATTTTAGGTCTTCTCGTGAGCGAGTTGTGTTGAATAACAGTGTGGCTTCCTAACAATCTTTGGAAACTTTTCAAATGCTGAGTTCTGAGTGATTTTTCTAAAATAGAGTAGCTTTTTTCAGGTGTTAAAACCCCGTGTACCTGTCTGTCCCCACGCTGCCCTGCAGCGGCGTGCCTGCCTTTGGAGCTCTGTGCCTTTCTTCACCAGGTTTCTTGACACACGCACCCAAAGCGTGTAAAATGGAGATAGTTTTTCAGAACAAGCGGCAGTTGTTGCTCAGGGATCTGGCGGTGTCTTAGGTTCTGCCTTCTTTCAGCGCTTCTCCTCTTACACCTCTGTGGTGGTTCTTGCCACACAGGACTTCGTCTTTGCCATTAAAGCCACGTTTTGCTTACTCTTTAAAAGTTAACCTGCTGTTGTACCTCTGCTGTAAAATGGCTGAAAAGGCATCCAAAACCTGTAAAAGGAGGAGACTGAAGGGTGGATTTCTACCTAGCTGTTTGTGTGCAGGGAATGGGAAGGGATCTGAATCCTGTTTGAAATGAATCGGAGGACGTTGTTACCTAAATAGCTAGGAGGTGGAGTATTTTGTGATAGTTCTAGTTTATTTTCTGTGGCTTTGTATTTTAAAGGAACTCTTCTTAGTTGAGGTATGTGAGGGGATGACATCTAACTTAAGCGTTCCATCCTTCACTATTATACTCAAGTCTTTAATGTTTGCAGGAGTATACAACGCCATAATTAGGTTGGCTGTTACTGCAAAAAGTATTCAAGGTGGAAAAACTACCAAAATGGCTTCGGCAGTTTTCCCAAGCGGCCTTCAAGGGTTTCATTGCGGTTGAATAGCAATAAGTTCATAGATGGGGAATGCATCTGTGGCACAGCTGACACCCGTCACTGCCCGGTCGCTGGCAGCTTTCTCGTTCCCTGTTTCCAAACCAGCCGGTCTCGTTACGTTCTGGTGGTACCCGTGGGGCTACGGGAGGGTAACTGCCAAAATACTGTGGAGCGGTGGTGGGGAACGCGTTGATAAAGCGGTGGCAAGTGAGGGTTCCTCCACCTGTGTGCTCCTGCTGGTCTTGAGCTGGAGTTTATTTCCCCTGTCTTAGATTTGTGGGTTTGTAAGTAAGCAACGAGTGCTGTCATAGTGCAGAAAATAGCTTTGGGATTTTCTTCTGTTTGCAGTGCAGGCTGGCACGGTACAGTTGGGACTGCTGGTGAGAGGCTAGCCAGAGTGGGTGGCATCTGCTTACTGGGCATAAACTTGAGAAAGAAGGGAATAAGCTTTTTTGTTGCAAGTATCCCTGTACCAAATGTTGGCACCTGTAGCAGGAGTCTATCTGCTCCTACGTACGGTATCAACAGAAAGAGAGCTTTGTACTGCAGGCAGGTTGGAGTAAAAACCCGCGACAGACCGATCCCTCAAACGCCACGTGCCCCCCAGTCACCAAACCTCAAACCTATTTTGTATTGTTTAAAGTTTAAAATGTCTTCCAAGCCTTTTACGTAAGGGTAGAGCAGATGGAAATTTGTGATCCCTCCTGCCAGAACATAAGCGAGCTCATCGTGTACGTGAGATGAGTGATCTTCTTGCTCTACATCAGGAGAAAGCTGTGGGTTCTCTAAAAGGACTGCTGGGGACAAGGAAACCGTGTGCGCGTGCGTGAGTGAGCGTACATACACCTTTGCTGCAAATCCTCAGCTGAGGAAGCAAAAGCAAAGGAGCGGCAAGTGAGCGAGAAGTTAACGTCGCAGCTACTTGTCCTGACTTCAGTACGAGTTCCTTATGACTTTGACCAAGAACGAGTTCTTGCTGGACTGTAAATTTAGGACCCCGAAGTTTTATAAGCAGTAGTTGATGTAATTATGGGCAATTAAATTTTCTCTCATGCTTCCTGACTTCAGGGGGAAAAGAAGCAGCATGGTGTCTTTAAAGATATAAAGCAAAGGTTTTTGTTCCACAGCATCTAATGAAGCAGTGAAGCTGAATACTAGTCTAACTCAAGAGACAAATTCTCTCACATCTCAGACTCATAAAGCTTTTTTTGATTAAGGCAAAAGCCCTAGATACTACCCCAGAAAACGAGTGACTAAAATACTGGAATTATTTTTCTATTTCTCTCCCTAATAATTCCACAGAATGAACTGATGTGATTGCTACAGTCGTAATAGTGAACGGGACGTTGTCATTTTAGTATTTTGGTCTTGAAAAGACTCAAAACCATCGTTACCTCATGAAACTGCATGTACTGTTGCCTGTCTGGTAGCAGCCATTTGTACGCTTTCCTTACTGTTAAGACATTAATCTTCTTATAAAGAAATTGTGTATTTTTTTTTCCTAGTTATTAAATCATGTCTTAAAAGAGCTTATGGGAATGAAACAACTTAGAGAGAACCTCTTGCAAGTTCATCTGAATGGCAAGTAATACCACGTCACGTTTGAATTTCAGTTGCTGTAATTTGTATGTACTGAGCAAAAAATCTTGGTTTCAGCAGTTGTGATCTCGCCCCGATGACGGGCCCACAGATCTGCGCGCTCCAAAACGCCTTTCTTCACATCTCTCTGTGTAAAGAGAACTTTGGTGCTTTTAATGACTTTTCAAAATATTAAAATCCAGTTCGATCGTGACCAAATTGTTCTAAGCAACTTCTTAGTACAGATGGAAAATTACTGTCCAGCCTTAATTTAAAGAAAGGCCCAGCTTTGTAGGGCTGGAAATGGAGAGAAGCTGCTGGCTAAGTTTCTGGCGGCTGTAGACACGGCCTGTTGGAGTGAAGGAGAGCTGCCAGGTCTTCATGCCAAATCATTTTCTTTCAGGGCTTCTTCAGACGAATGATAAAGTGGCCCTGAAGGAGATCACCAGACAGTTGCACCTGGAAAACGTGGTGGGGGATAAAGTTTTTGTAAGTATCGACTTCACTATGCCCCGTGCTCATCTCCCACGGAAATCCTTGCCTGGAAAACTCGCTGTCTAGAGCGCAGCTTGTGCAGACTGAACGGGCCGTGGGAGTGTTAGTAGCAACACTGAGATGGGCTGGCTCGGTCTTCTCAGAGCTTTCTCTTCTAAAACAGTTAATTTGCGTGGCAGTAGTGGCCTCTGGCAGCATTTACCTGGTTTACAACCCCTTCGGGCGTGCCAGCAAATGAATACCTGTGCTCTCCACAAGTGCTGCACGTGACCTGTCGCTAGCTGAGCGATCTTAATGCCTCCTGATACTTCTTCACAGACCATCGACTGTGACTTAGGGAGCCTTTCCACCCTTCCTCCTTCTCTAGACATTTACTTCAGACCTCTAGATGAAGCAAACATTAAGCATCCTGAAAAGACTTTGTTCAGAGGGGTAGAGTATTTCGGAAACATTGGCTTTTAACGTTTCAAGGCAAAGAGTAAGCCAGTGAGCCAGCCAAAAAGCAGCATCTTCAGTGTATTTGCAGCATTTTCTAGTTCACAGGGAAATCCAGGCTTCCTAGAGCTCTCGTTTTGCATGGGATTTCTGTTAAAATCTTTGCTTCTGTTGAACTTTTCACAGCTATAAGAGACTCATTTACGTTAGTGGTAAAGTCAGTAATAAAGAGAATAACTGAAGTGCTTCAGATTCAGTTTCACTCATTTGGGTGTGACATAACTTGGGCTGATGACCTGAGCTACCCTGGTTGTTGCCTGTTACACAGTGAGTGTCCTTGAGAAGCCCTTCTCTGGTGCGGCAGGTCCTTCTGAGCATCATCTCTGCTCCCAGGTGGGGGCCTTGGGCAGAGCTTACATAGGTGTGAGTCACGTCTAACACTGATCCACGTGGCTAGAGCGGAATTACAAGAGGGGAGAAAGGTGAAATCTGGATAGAGGAGGTTTATTTTCATCAGCTGCCTTTGGAAGGCTAAAGAGGTCAGATGTTACCACCTCAGTGAAGAGAAACTGGAGGACTAGGCTGGAGGTGGTGTGGAATACAAGAGGAAGTGTGGATGGTAGTTATTGCCTTTATTACCCTTTGGAAATGCTTCCTTCTTAGGCTGCGCTTTGGTTTCCTACTGATCCCAAGCGATTTTAGGTACAGAGAATGGAAAACCCTTTCTGGGGGTGAGCTAAAATTTTCCCAAATCCAGCTGTGGTAAGAAAAGGAAATCACAAGTATTTAATTTCAGCCTAGCCGTTGGAACCAGAGATCGTTCCCACAGAGCCCGAGAACAACCTTTCAGGGTCCGCAGCTCAACCACCAAAAATGCTGGAGGCACAACCGGACTGAAATACGCATAATTCCCCTTTAATTTTCCCCGTCAAGCTCTCGTGGAGCACTACTTTAAACTCTCAGCTAGCTGATCCCTTCGGTGATGGGCACCACGCGGTGATCTGCAGGAATGTCCTCTCGGGAGAAACGTTTCCTTTCTTCCCTCCTTCAGCTCGCCTTCGGAGCGTCCGGGGGTTTTTCTGCCGCCTCGGGCGGGGCTGGTGGTCTGGACTGGTTTCCCACCTCCCAACTGGGGCGCTTCAGAGCGCGTTAGCCGTGCGTGCAGCCGAAGCGGGATGGTCCCAGCAGCTCACGGGGGTCGGGGGTGAGCGGGCGATGCTTTCACCCATCTAACGAGGTGGAAACTGAGCTGCGTCCTGATCGTGCTCGGCGTGAGGCGGCGGTTTCTGCCCGGGGTGAGCGTGCAGTCGCAATTTAAGGAAAGACAGAGCCACTTGTACGTTTAGCCTTTTGTAGACGTTCTTCTGATCGCCGGTTCTTGCCTGGCTGAGGCAATTTGTTTGGGGTTGGAAAAAAAGCGGGTCGATGTCGAGTCAGCTGTCAGCTTCCTGAAGACGCCGTGGTTATACACCGTGAAATAACGTCGTACGGTTTCGAACCGGCCCTGGTTTTGAGCGCGGGGTTTTGGGAGGAGATGGCTTCATGACATGCCTGAGCTTGAGGTCGTCGCTCCCTTCTGGGAGTGACACTGAAAAGCTGTTGTGAAACTTGTTTTTTTTTTTTTTTTCTTCTCTGCGTAGGGCAGTTTTGCTGAAAATCTTGCGTTCCTCCTTGAAGCTCTAAGGAAAGGTAAACACGAGTAGCCTCCGTTCTGAAAGCGTGTGTGCTTGTCACTTGGCTGGGAAGTTAGCCTGTACGTGTGTGCTCACCTCCTCGTACGAGTGGAGTGAAGAATTGCAGCCCGAGAATGTGTCCAGTTACAAAACAATGTAAAGAATACATAATGCTAAACGTGTCCTGGTTAGAAAATAATGTAAAAAATACGTAACCTAAACAAACACAAACCTCACCGAACTGGTGCTGTAAAGGCTTGCGTGTGAGGGTCAGCGGGGACGGACAGATTCTTTTATCCAGGTTGAAGTTACTAAAAATGGTGGGTTTTTTAAAAAAAAAAAATTGCCATAGAAGTCTGTCTTGCCTCGCAACCAGAAGTGATGTCCGGCAGAATACTACAAAACCTTGCAATTTTTCAGTGTGTTTTTCTTGTCGCTGTTGTAGCAGTGCCAATGTGAAAGGAGGGCTTAGGGAAGAGCTAAAAGAAAATACAGGAATTATTAAAACTGGGATTTGTGACAGCGGTCGAGATGGGAAGCCTGATGATGACGTTACCACGCTAACTTTTAAAATTGCAATCTCAGGAGACCGAACGAGCAGTTGTCCAGTTCTGTTCATACTGGATGAGTTCGACCTGTTTGTTCATCACAAGAACCAGACGCTGCTCTATAACCTCTTTGACATATCCCAGTCAGCACAGACTCCGGTGACGGTGGTTGGCCTTACGTGTAGGCAGGTAAGGAACTGCGCTTGCTCTTGCAAAGTTTTCACCTGTTTCTTTTGTCTTAGCTGGAATGTTTTCTCCTCTGCTGGAACCTTACTTAATTTACTAAGAGACTTTTCTCGATTATCCATTTTTGTGACTTTTTTTTTTTCAGTTGGGAGGGGATTAAAAAATAATCATAACTTGTGCTGAGAGCAAACTGGGATGACCAAAAAACTGCCAAGCCTTGAGTTTCACTGCTGGAGGAGCAGGTTTCCGTGTCTGAGGAGACACGTGGCCGCTCTCCTTCCTGTATTACCACACAAGAGCCATATTTATCCACGTGGCTGTTGTATATTATACTGTTGTTCACCCTTTCCTCCTGGGCACTTCAGTTTCTTGGTCAGCAGTTGGTAAGAACAGACTTGTAGTAACCGACAGTGTTTCAATCCTTGTTTCTGAGGACGAGGGATTGTTTTTAAGCACACGCTTCAGGAGGGCACTGCTGCTGAAGTGTCCAAAGCGGGTTTAGGATCCGGGTTAAACTTGTGATTTTTGCAGTGACATTGTAGGGAGCTGTGGACAGGTTACATGTGTACTGTGAAACGACGACTGTGTAATGCTATGGCAGCTGATACTTTATAAAAAGTTAGGCTGGTTTTCTCAATAAGCTGCATCGGTGGTGAAGATGGCTGGGTTAAGACAAGAATAATTAAAATCTTTCATCGAAGGCTGAGTCTGGGGTTAATTGGGTTTAGGTGATATTTAGCTGGGCAAATTTCTGGAAGGTGAGGGAACAGCTAATAGCAGATTCGGTAAATTACAATCTTTCCTTTTGCTTCATTCCTGTCCTGAGCCTGGTTTCCTCATCGCCCGTTGTTTGGAACCCCGTGTTGGTCTGCTTTTGAGTGTAATTAAGGTGTCGTCTTCAGAGGCTGTGCCGTGGCTGTGGGGATAGCTGTGGCTTCTGAGGGTTGGTTTTGTTTTTTTTTAAATCGCTGGTCCCTGTTGCGTGGGACTTGGGAATCGAAAGGGGCTTTTATGTTCTGCCCTGTTGGCTCTCTGCTTCCTGTTCCCGCTCGCTTTTGGGTGAGGACGTTGGGTATTCTTCAAGCCTTTTTTTAGTGCACGTAAAAACACTTAAAACCAACACACAGCAAACCCTCAAAAAACAAAAAGGCCCACCCCAGATCCCTAGAACTACGCATGTAATCAACCATTGTCCCACCCCAGATCCCTAGAACGAGGCCTGTAACCG